GACTGTGAGAGCTGTTCAGCAGTGGAACTCTCTGCCCTGGAGTGTGGTGGAGGCTCCTTCTTTGGAGGCTTTTAAGCAGAGGCTGGATGGCCATCTGTCGGGGGTACTTTGAATGCAGTTTTCCTGCTTCTTGGAAGGGGGTTGGACTGGATGGCCCATGAGGTCTCTTATAACTCTATGATTCTATGATTCTAAGAAATCCACTTCTCCAATTGTTGCAAAATCAGTCAATACATAGGCAAGACATTCATTCCATGACTCTGCTTCAGTCAGGACATAACAGGGCTTAGTCTCCTGCACCCGTTTCATTTATTTGTGTTGAAGAGAATGGGACACAATTGCCCAGAATCCCAGCAGTCATTTTGGATGGGGATACTGGGCAGTGTAGTCCAAGACTTTTGAAGCTCGGAGTGCCAGCATATACGAAAGGCATCAGCCAAAACTCACTGCCTTTCGTGATACCTTTTGTAATATTATTTCTTTGAAGAACTGCTATATCAAGGCTTCAAGAGCGCATAAGAATGTGTTGTCTGCCATTTCTGCCCTTAAAATTTTTTTTTAATTGTAAGCATTGATTGGTATTCTAAGCTAATGACGTAGCTTAGTAATGTCTCTCAGCCTGCCCCATTCCTGACTTGCCATGCAGCAGCTCTTGTATATATCTAGGCTGTGACTCAGCTATGAATGCATAAGTCTGGATTATGCATGCATGACAGAGATTGTGAATTCCGACCATAAACTCTGAGTGGGAACCAGCAAAAGAGGTCACTTTCTCCAATATCATAATATGAGCCAATGAAGTACAAGCTTACATGGAGTAGATTCCACAGAGTTGTGGCTTGTGGCAGCTCTGGAGCTTCAAGTTTTAGTCTGAACTTTGAATGATTTGTCCAAAGTGCTGAATCTAAGTGAGGACTGGTTTCAGCACCATGGAAAGCTCCATTAACTCCTTTCTTTGAACCTTATTTTCAGATAGGGTTCAGAACCTTGGGTGGTACTTTGAAGTTCAGACTAAAATTCAAAATCGCACTAAGGATGCTATCACACACAGCTTGCAAACCAGGATTGCAAAAGGATTGCATTATATGAGGAAGTGTTTTACTATGCCACTATATACAATAGGACTTGAATATCCATGTATTATGAAATCTGGAACCAAACCTCAGTGGATACTGAAGACTTTGAAAATGAGTCTTTAGTTACTAGAAAAAAGTACATTTTCTGTCATTTTCTTTATATTTGCCAGCTCTGCAATATTGGATACATGAGCAAATATTAACGTAAAAGGAACAAGACTTGAATGTAGAACATCTGGCAGACTAGTCAAATGTGGGCTAGGCAAAATATGGTTTGGTGGATCTGTAATTGGTTAAGTGAAATAACCCAAAGGGGAATTCTTCCCAATGCTTCTGCTTCATCCTGGAAAGAAGTGACGAGTGGAGTGCCATCAGCAGGGTTCTGTCCTGGGCCCGGTCCTGTTCAACATCTTTATTAATGACTTAGTTGAAGGTTAGAAGGCATGACCATCAAGTTTGCAAATGACACCAAATTGGGAGGGAGAGCCAATACTCCAGGATACAGGAGCAGAATTCAGAACAGATTAGAGAGATGATTGGCCAAAACTAACAAAATGAAGTTCAACAGGGACAAATGCAAGATACTCCACTTAGGCAGAAAAAATGAAATGCAAAGATACAGAATGGGGGACACCTGGCTCATCAGCAGTACATGTGAAAAAGATCTTGGAGTCCAGTGTCTATATCCAGGGAAGTAATGCTACCCCTCTATTCTGCCTTGATCAGACCACACCTGGAATCACAGTGTCCCATTCTGGTCATCACAATTGAAGGGAGATGTTGACAAGCTGGAATGTGCAACTAAAATGGTCAAGGGTCTGGAGAATAAGCTCTATGAAGAGTGGCTTATAGAGTTGGGCATGTTTATCCTGCAGAAGAGAAGGCTGAGAGGAGTCATGATGAGGGCCTTGTATAAATCTATGAGCAGAACTCATAGGGAGGAGGGAGAGGGTTTGTTTTCTGTTGCCCTGGAGACTAAGACATAGAGCTTCAACTACAGGAAAGGAGATTCCACCTGAACATGTGGAAGAAGTTCCTAACTGTGAGAGCTGTTCAGCAGTGGAACTCTCTGCCCCAGAGTGTGGTTGGAGACTCCTTCTTTGGAAGCTTTTAAACAGAGGCTGGATGGCCATCTGTCGTGGTGCTTTGAATGTGATTTTCCTGCTTCTTGGCAGGGTGTTGAACTGGATGGCCAACAAGGTCTCTTCCAACTCTACAACTCTAGGTGGAAAATGTAATACAGTCGCACAAGGAAGATCTCTGTGGGGACTCATTTTTTGAATCCTTGAATTGATTTCTGTGCACTGATAGAAATAATTTTGAAATCTCTCAATGTCACTCCAGAGGATATTATTTTGGAAAAAGTTACCTATAGGACTAGATACCCATTTAGAACCAATCGTACAATATCCAATCTGTTTTCACCCCCAAAATGGAAAAGTGTTTCATACCAAAGTTGGATGCTTAAGAAAAACAAGAGGATAATTCCTGGCCCAGCATTACGAAGAAGGAGCACATTGCCTTCCAAGAACTAGATGAAAAGAAATCATGTAAACAAATTGAAGGGAGTCGCTGAGGAATTCTGTTCTAAATTATTCTTGTTGGATTCTGTTTGGAACTTCCTCCAAAAGAACTGACTGTGAATCAGAGGCTGGCAGGAGAAGGAAGTGCTCTCTGCATTTCTCAGCTAAAGCATCTGGGATATAGGACAAACATGAAAAATGTTACCATTAGTTAAGCATCAAGGTCTAAGAGACGGTAGGAGGAAGGAAGATTGACTCGAGATGAGCTCTTTTTGTTAAGGTCTAACAGTCAGGAAATGATGAAAACATATTGAGTCTCTCTCGGCTTTGTTGTGAGAAGCAGTTTTATTACATAGCGAAAACTGTGGAAATATGGCAAAGGAAACACGTAGATTCGAAAGGAATATTTCAGGCTTCCTCTCGTAACGGAAAAACCATTCCCTTAGACCATAATGCCCAGAATCCTGGCCTCTTGCTTTTCTGTTTTCGGTAGTCCAAAAAAGGAAATACTCCCAAGCTTTTATCCTTTCCACGCATAGACTATACTACAAATTGATTGTGACTGTTTCCTCAGTTTCAATAGTGTTGACTCACTCATGTAGTTTTTACTTAAGGTGAGGAGTCAACAAAGGTGTTTCTAGGAAACTTGGGGCACATCTACACTGTAGAATAAACTCAGTTTGGTAGTATTGCCATGGCTCAAGACTATGGTATCCTGGGAGTTGCAGTTTTAGAAGAGCTTCCACCTTCTTTACTGGTGCCTCACTAAACTACAGCTTTCAGGATTCCATGGCATTAAGCCATAGCAGTTAAAGTGGTGTCAAATTGCATTAATTCAACAGTGTAGATGCATCATGAGATTACAAAGCCCAGCGGGGGGTGAGGAAGCAACAACAGTAGAGTCTCGCTTATCCGACCTTCGCTTATTTGACCTTCCATGCTATCCGACGCTCTTATCCAACGCCCCACCCTTTTCCTCCAGCATTTCCCTTTTAGAGGCCATGTTTTTAGTTTTCTTCTTTCTTCCCCATTTTGGCCGGTACCACTGTGCAGACTCCGAAGAAGAGACAGAGCATAACGGTTCTGCCTCTCCCGCCGACCTCTGTGTGGAGCAATGGTTCAGTCTGTGTTGGAAGGATGGTCTGTGGCAACATGGAAGTTGTAGGAGATATGGGAAGAGAAAAGAATTAGGGTAGGCAGTTGTCTTGAGGACTTGTGTAAGTGTACTATCTACCTTTTCATTACTATTACTATTGTTTGTTGCTCTTTTTTCCATCAGTGGTGAGTGAGTTCTCTCCTTGAGTCTGGAAAACCAAACAGAAGGATAACTCACTCACCACTGATCTCTGCCAGGCTGGAGATATGGACTTCAACTCCCAGAAGCCTCCATATTATCCAACATTTTCATTTATCCGACATCCTGCCAGCCCGTTTATGTTGGAAAAGTGAGACTCTACTGTATCTGGATCTTTCTATCCCAGCCTGCATGTTGTTTGATAGTATAACTCAAGAGTGAGCAAAGCATAGCCCGTGAAACACATGCCATCCCAGGTATTTCACTCTGGTGATGTCAAGTTCCCCACCAGTCCCTCAGCCTCCCATTTTTTTTGAAAAAAGGAAAAATTGTGGGATAATTTGTGCCCAAAAGCCCAAATGAAAGTCCATCAAAAGCATGAAAATGTGCAAAACTGCCCCAACTTGCCCTCACAAGTGCCCAAGAATCTCATACTAACCCAGCTACAGGCAAGCTTCATCCCTCCAAGTGTAGGCTGGAAGGCTGTTAGGAATTGTGGCAATTGAAGTCCAAAACACTTGGAGGTCTGAAGTTTGCTCATGGATGCAGTAGCCCATAAGGTGAAGTTTTCCTCTAACATTAAGTCTAGTTGGGTTGTTGTAGATTTTTTCAGGCTATATGGCCATGTTCTAGAGACATTTTCTCCTGACGTTTCACCTACATCTATGGCAAGCATCCTCAGAGGTAGTGAGAGGTTCCAATAGACCTCATTACCTCTGAGGATGCTTGCCATAGATGCAGGCGAAACGTCAGGAGAAAATGCCTCTAGAACATGGCCATATAGCCTGAAAAACCCTACAACAACCCAGTGATTCTGGCCATGAAAGCCTTCGACAATACATTAAGTCTAGTTGTGTGGAGGGTGATGATCATCTCCATTTCTAAGCCAAAGAGCCGGCATTGTCCATAGACACCTCCAAGGTCGTTTGGCCGGCATGACTGTACGGAGCACTGTTACCTTCCCACCTATTGATCTACTCACATTTGCATGTTTTTGAACTGCTAGGTTGGCAGAAGCTGGGGCTAACAGCAGGAGCTCACCCCACTGGATTCAAACCACCAAGGTTTCAGCCAGCAAATTCAGCAGCTCAGAGGTTTAACCCACTGGAGGCTTTGGGCAAGCCCATAAGGACATCCCATTTCCTCTGCAGCCCTTCTCAAAATGGCAATGGATGGTGATATCCCATCTGTTTGAATGCCATTTTGAGAAGGACTGGCTAGGAAAACAAATTTGGGCTTGCTTTTAGGGAGTGAAGTCTGGAGGGAAACTGGCTCCAGGTCACCATTCAGTTGAAACACCCTACTGTAATGGAATATAAAAATATATATTAAACAAACATTTTTAAAGTGCTTTGCCTGTATTCAACATTCTCTCCATCTCCTCATGTTCAAGTGAATACTGTGGTGACTAATATGGTTCACGGAGGTTTCATTCCTCTAAGGAATTACAAATAATAACAGCAACATTGTTGGGTTTTTTTCCATAAAAAGACACATTAACACCACTCATCACAAGTGATTTCACAGATATTGTCGACTGAATGGGCATGACAATCACAAATGTTGATGTTCTGCACAACACCGAGAACTGCCCTTGGACCGAAATCTGGAAACAAAAGAAAATCTGGTTCACCAGCAGCAAACTATTGCTTTTTAAACACTAGGGAGAAATACAGTGTCTGCACAACAGAAGAGCTGTCTTCGAGGGCAATGCCTGAACTCACAAGGATGTTTTCTTTACGTTGGAGTATCAACAGCTCATCTTGGAGCACCTGAGTTTCTCTATAGAGACTCTGCGTTCATGTTTCCCTCTCTGCGCAAGGTGAAGAAGGAAGATGCTTTGACTTTATATTTGTCAAAAAATGGTATTTTGCTCTCTTGTTGGAACACGTTTCATGGCTGCCTGGAAAACAGGCTCTTGAAGGCATTGTTGTAGTTCTTGTTGAATGCGGTGTAGATCAGAGGGTTGAAGAAGGAGTTGGAGTAGCCGAGCCAAAGGAAGATGCTTTTCCAGAGAGGGGGGATGTCGCAGGAGCAGAGCGGGTTGAGTAGTTCGGTGATGAAGAAGGGGATCCAGCACAACACAAAGACGCCAATGAGGATGCCCACCATCAGGGCAGCTTTCTTCTCCTTCTGCTCCCTCCAGGTGTCTCCATCAGTCTGGAAGGTCACCGTCGCATGGCGGACAGTAAACACCATCTGGGGCTGCTGAGAGCCTTCCTTGACCTGCTGGAGACAAATATACTCTTCAGACAGGAGTACTTTGTGAACCAAGCATGAATTAATGCCTATAGCATTATGGCTACAAAGATACTGAAAACAACTGAGTTCTGCTTCCATTACATTTCATGGCATGTTGAAGATATGGAAAGGCCATGCTCACGGAGTTAAGCTCCCCAAATTTGGGGATTTTGGCTGACATTCTGCACTGCAGTTACCAATTTATAAGCTAGAATTACAAATCTGTAACTGCTTCATATTACAATACTATATTGTCTTACTCTAAAGCAGGCATTGGCAAGCTTTGGACCTCCAGATGTTTTGGATTTCAATTCCCACAATTCCTAACAGTCATTAGCCACACTGGGCAAAGGAGGTCTGCTCAGAGCATGGATGAGCTCCCTCTGTCAGCTCCAGATCCCCATGAGGGGACATGGGAGAAGCCTCCCACAAGGACGATAAAACATCAAAACATCTGGGCACCTCCTGGATAACATGTTTGCAGACAGCCAATTCTCTCATAACAGAAGCGGCTTGCAGTTTCTCAAATCACTCCTGACACAAAAAGAAAAAAGCAGTTGATCAGGGGACAAAAAATATTGCATTCCCGGCCTCTTGTTTGGGAAGTGAGTCCCAAACAATAATAAGCTGGGCTGTTCTTGCAATTCATCATAGCAGTCTCACTTGCTGGCTAGAGGGGGCTGAAAGTGTCACCCTCCTTGCATCCCAATCACAATCTGAACAGACCTCCTTCACCTAATAGGTTTGGCCAAGAAGAAATTATTTATACAGAATATCTGAAGACCATGGTTCAAATCCTTGGAGGTGAAGAGGAAGGATCATCATTCATCTCTAGCTATTATCTACACAGAACCACGGTCGACTGATAGCATTTGTCTTAGTTGACTGGTGAACCCATTCCAGATGGCACTATAAACATTCAAGGAGCTATCCAAGGTGCTGAACCCTATGTCCAAAACAGATTCAGCACCTTGGATCACTGCTTCAAAGTTCAGGTTGAAACTTGGAGTGGGTTCCCAACCCTACTGGGATTGGGTCCTCTAGTTAGCACTGTCTAGGACTAGTTGGAGTTCCTATAGTCATCTAGAATCGAAGGGGACTTCTTCCAGATTGCGAGCCAAATTTAGTTTTAATATAGTTCTTGGGATGTGGGGGATGATATTAGGTGAAGGGTGAGGATAAAAGGAGAGAAAGGATCAGAATAACCTACAAAATTTGGCTTAACTCTCTTACTGCCAGTAAAGAGATCCCCAAGTGGCACCAATACTAAAATCACCAATACTAAAATCACTAAATCCTTCTCTTGGTTGGAAATCACCAACAAAGGGGAAGTAGCTTCATCTCCCTGGAAAAGTTTAAGAAGGAAGATTAAGCTCCCCATTCCTGATCTATAAGCACAACAATAGGAAGGTATGGAATATGGCAATCTGGATCTTCCAATAGGTTTCTGGAACCCTTGGTGGCACAATGGGTTAAACCCTTGTGCTGGCAGGACTGCTGACTGACAGGTCGGAGGTTCAAATTCGAGGAGAGCAGGTTGAGCTCCCTCTGTCAGCTCCAGCTCCCCATGTAGGGACATGAGAGAAGCCTCCTACAAGAATGGGAAAACATCAAACATCTGTGAGAAGCCTCCATGTTATCCGACATTTTCATTTATCCAACATCCTGCCGGCCCATTTATTTCAGATAAGTGAGACGCTACTGGATCTGGATGTTTTTATCCCAGCCTGTATGTTCTTTTATAATATTACTCAAAAGTGAGCAAAGCATAGCCTATGAGCCATATGCCGCCCCAGGAAAAATTGTGGGATAATTTGTGCCCAAAATCAACATTCTTACAGACAGCCAGTTCTCTCACACCTGAAGCGACTTGCAGTTTCTCAAGTCACTCCTGATACACACACATGGAGAAAGTACATTTCTGGGTTATTTTCAGAAAATCATCAAGAAATATCTGATTTCTAGATATTTGTGGTAAATGATGCTGTTCCTTGCCCTGCATTATATTACTCAAATGAAGAAAGTGCAGGAGGACAATGAGGTACAAAATTTCAGGTCTCAGAAGTCTTTAATTATAAATCACACTGTTTTTTGCATCTGGTTAATATGTCAGAATAGTTTCTATTTAAAAATTTAACTCAAGCCCCTGAATCTGATGATAGATTCCAACCCAGCCTTGGAATATGCAACTGCCCAGTGAAATATTATTCCCAGCAACCCCAGCCCTCTCTCCATGTACCTTCATCCATCACCACAGCTGCCAGAAAATGCAAATGCTGCAGACAACCCAGCTGCCCAAATGAGGAGAGAAATGACAAGACCATCTGGTACTCCCTGGCCTGAACTCACCGGCTGCTCCTGGAAACATTCTGCTTCCCCTCCCAAACGAGCCTTTGACTGGGGTTTAATATGGGTGCTCAAGGAGCAGCAATGGCAAGTGAGGGTTGCCGGGCTGTTTTCGGTCCATAACACATATCATATTGATAGATTATGCTAAATTTACTGCATGTTTTCTCTACTTCTACACAACAGATAGACCCCTAACATAATGCTCCAAAGAACAAAACTGAAAGTTGTTGAGAGTTCTGAAAGAAGAATAAAACGTTATAAACATGGGTGCTTAGACTGTATTTAAACAGAGAAGCAACACATCTTGGCTTTCATTATATTCTTTTCTTCCAGGGCAGAAAAAGGGCAGCCTGGGGAAAATGATGTGGTAGAAACAAGCCTGCAATCCCAAGACACACTTTGCCCTCTTTTCTATATTTAAACTAAAAATCCTGTCCTATTCATAGCACCCAAGGACTGCCTATTAGAAGGAAATATATTCAGTTTCTTTAGGCGGGCCATTCAGAATTTCCCTTATTTTGAAAATTGAAAAATCCTAGCAACATGTCCCTAAATGCACTTTTTAGTGATCTAGGATTGTTTACATGCTCCAAAATTTCTATCATGTTTATATGTCACCTGGTTACGCTCAGCATTATTTTTAAAAATTTTAATTAGTACATTAGCCCTGACATAGGCTTTCAAACGTCGCCGTGTTATTGTTAATGTTTATTGCTATTTTCTGTTTATGAGTTTATTTTTTGTTTGTATTACTATTGCTATTGTTTTTGTTGTTGTATTGTGGGCTCAATCTCATGTAAGCCGCACTGAGTCCCTTGGGGAGATAATAGCAGGATACAAAGAAAGTAAAAACCCCAAAGAAACTGCCTTCTTGCCATTTGGGGCTATTATTCTAATTTAACCTTTCTGAACTTGGGGCACACAAGATGTATTGTGTGTAACTCCCATCGTTCTTCATCAGCCTGACAAATAACATGTGGAAGTAAAAAGGTTGGGGAAGGATGTTCTGTCCAGTTTGTTTCTCTCTCTCCTTCCTTCCTTCCTTCCTTCCTTCCTTCCTTCCTTCCTTCCTTCCTTCCTTCCTTCCTTCCTTCCTTTTATAGCAGTATGTGTGAAAAGGATATTGGGAGTCCTCGTAGGTAGGAAGTTAAACATGAGCCAACAATGCTATGCRGCGGCTAAAAAGAACAATGGGATTTTGGACTTTATCAATAGGAATCTAGTGCCTAGATCCAGGAAAGCCATGCTACCCCTCTCTTCTGCCTTGGTTAGACCACACCTGGAATCACACTGTGTCCCATTCTGGTCACTGCAATTGAAGGGAGATGTTGACAAGATGGAATGTGCAACTAAAATGATCAAGGGTCTGGAGAACAAGCTCTATGAGGAGCGGCTTAAAGGGCTGGGCATGTTTAGCCTGAAGAAGAAAAGGCTGAGGGGAGACATGTTGAGGGCCATGTATAAATATGTGAGGGGAAGTTATAGGGAGGAGGGAGCAGGCTTGTTTTCTGCTGCCCTGAAGACTAGGACATGGAACAATGGCTTCAAACTACAGGAAAGGAGCTTCCACTTGAACATTAGGAAGAACTTGTGAGAGCTGTTCAACAGTGGAACTCTCTGCCCCAGAGTGTGGTGAAGGCTCCTTCTTTGGAGGCTTTTGAACAGAGGCTGGATGGCCATCTGTCAGGCATGCTTTGAATGTGATTTTCCTGCTTTTTCACAGGGGGTTGGACTGGATGGCCCATGAGATCTCTTCCAACTCAGTCTATGATTCATTCCTTCTTCTTTCTTTTTTTCCTTCCTGCCTGCCTGCCTGCCATGATAGAATTTGGACCGGGTTTGCCTTTGCCTTCCTCCTGAGGCTGAGAGAGTGTGACTTACCCAAAGTCAAACAGTTGCTTCCATGTCTGACTGATTAATTACATTACATTAAATAAAAAGTTCACCTATATTGGTGCTTAGTTTACTCTGTAGGATGAGGAATTACCTGGACCCTTTCCAGTAAAACACTGTAGAACTAATGCAGTTTGACACCACTTTAACTGCTATGGTTCAGTATTATTAAATCATGGATGTTTGAGTTTTACAAGGTCTTTAGCCTTCTCTGCCAAAGAGTTCTGGTGCCTCGCCGGACTACAACTCCCATGATTCCACAACACTGAGCCAAGCAGAGTGGTGTCAAACTGCATTGATTCTACAGTGTAGATGCATATCTAGAAGCCACAACCCAAGCCACACTGTGCATATTATTTGTACAGTTGCTTATGTAGCTGTCTTGCCATCACTGCAACCTATTAGAGGCAGAAAATCCAGAAGGACCCCTCCACGTTACCACAACGATAAACATAAATCACAGCCCAACTATGACTGCATAATTTGGAAAGGGGCAGAGGAGGGAACAGCTGTTCACACATGCACACAATGCCTGAAATGAAGTGGCTGTAGGCAAACACAATGACTGGAACCACTCAATTCCATCATCAATTAAAACTGTTTGGGTACACAGGGTTCCATCATCTGTACCGCATCAGAATGAATGAAGTTTTGGTTCTGTTCTTGGTCCTACATTTCTTTGGGACAGCCCTACCCTTAATGTGATGAGACAAGGGCCTCACCTCACTTCAGGCAGCAGAGATTCGGGTCCCATGGAAGGGCATTTTCCTTTCTTCTTTCCTTCCTCTTTGGTGCTACATTTATAAGACAAAATAAGTGTGTGTTTTTGCTGTAGAATTAATGCAGGATATAGCCGAGTGGGTTGATACCCTTGTGCTGTTTGTTTTGCTGTCTGTGTCCCTGTTCAGAAGATTTGCCCTCTTTTTCTATCCCTGTGATCACTAGATTTTGAAAAATGTGGCTTGTTGTGGAAATAAAGAATAGTGATGATGCTTCTGTTGAGAGATCTTTTCCCCAGGATAATTCTTCCAGGAATGAATTTCTCTTCTAAGGGTAGATTTCTCTTACTTCCTGTTGTCTCATCCCCATTCTTAACTGTGAGTCATTTGTAAATTGGATGTCTGCAACTTGGGGACTGCCTGTAATAGTATGTTTTACAAACATGCACCACAGCTGTTGACTTTATGTGAAGATGGAACTCACCTAGTTTATAGCATGCTTATGCGCATCATATTATCCCATATGACAGCCAGTTATGCCCAGACCTTGTTTTGGTCCAAAACTCCCATAATGACTGAAGGAATTCTAGGATCCCTTTTATACTGCCATATAATCCATATTATCTGCTTTGAACTGGATTATGTGAGTCTACATTGCCATATAATCCAGTTCAAAGTAGATGGGTAATGGTTTTCCCTTACACTAAGTCCAGTTGTTTACGACTCTGGGTTGGTGCTCATCTCCATTTCTAAGCCAAAGAGCTGGCATTGTCTGTAGACACCTCCAAAGTCATGTGGCTGGCATGACTGCATGGAGTACCGTTACCTTCCTGCCAGAGTGGTACATCTGCATGTTTTTGAACTGCTAAGTTGGCAGAAGCTGGGGCTAACAGCTCACACTGCTCCCTGGCTTCCAACTTGCGACCTTTTGGTCAAAGTAGATAAACTGGATTTTATATGGTAGTGTAGAAGGGGTTTTGGAAACATAGTGCAAAATAGGGTGGAATTTTTCCTAGCATTGCAAAGAGCTCACCTCCAGGGCTTCGGGAGTGATTGGCGTGATGGAATTGCTCTTGCGTGATCCGATGCGAAACTTGGCTGCCTTGTAGATTTTCCAGTATACGAAAAGCACCACACAGAGAGGCACGTAAAATGCCCCAAATGTGGAGAAGATGGTGTAGGAAGGCTCCCGGCTGACCTGACACTCTTCGTTGCCCTCCGAGTAGGTCTCCCCCCAACCAAAGAGTACTGGAGCCAAGGAAATGATGGCCGAGAGGAACCAAGTCAGAGCAATCATGATGTTGGAGATGCGTCTCCGGGTCCGCAAGGTGTACTCCAGGTGTCGGGTGATAGACCAGTACCGATCCAAAGCAATGGCGGTGACATTCCAGATGCTGGCAGTGCAGCAAAGCACATCGCAGGAGATCCAGGCTTGGCATAGAGCCCTCCCCAGCCGCCAGCGGTGTCCAGACAATTCATGCACCAGGCTGAGGGGCATCACCAAGGCAGCCACCATCACATCCGAAATGGCCATAGAAGCCACCAGGTTGTGGGGCACCCGGTGGAAAGTGCGCACCCGCAGGATTGTCGCCAGCACCAGCAGATTCCAGAGGAAGGTGGCCACTGCCAACATGGCCAAGAGGGTCAAGATGAGGACAGTGAAGACCGACAAGGATTGCTCCCCAGATGGGAAGTCCTCAGCGGAGTCAGAACCTATCTGACTGGAATTGGCCAAAGTGATGACCGAGAAGCAAGTGAAGTTTGGGGACCAATCCATCATGCAGCGATTAGCCGAGGAGCATATCTTGGTGGAGACAACCAGATGGATAGGCTTCTTCTAAATTAAGCACCGGCCCTTTTTTTATGCCCAAGATAATATCATACTTCTGGAAAAGATGATAGATGTGCCTTATTTCAGAGCTCTGGCATGCTCCCAGTTTAGAAGAGCACCAATCTGGCAAGCGTAGGCATTGGCGAGGAACACACTAAGGACACGTTCGCGAACCAGTCTGAAATCCATTTTTAAATCCACCTGTAAATCCAACAGAAAACAAAAAGATAAAGTCATAAGGGGCCAGTTGAAAATGCCTTGTTGTTCTTGCTGTTGTGTGCCTCAATGTTGTTTCTAAGGTATAGCAGCCCTAAGGCAAACAAACCTCACAACCTCTGAGGATGCCTGCCATAGATGTGGGTGAAACATCAGGAGAGAATGCTTCTGGAACATGGGCATACAGCCTGGAAAACTCACAGCAACCCAAACCTACAGTGGTTTTTTCCTTGGCAAGATTTGTCCAGAGGGCATTTACTATTGTCTTCTTTGAGGCTGAGAGAGTGTGACTTGCCCAATGTCTCCCTGAGGGTTTCCATGTCTGAGCTGGGTTTACAACCCTATTCTGCCAGATTTTTTTTCTCAGGATTTCCATGACTGGGCAGATATTTGAATTCTCATCTCCCAAAACTCAAGTTCAGTACTCAAACTACTGTCCCACACTGACTCCTTAAACAGGCAGTCCCCAAGTTACAAACATCTGACTTACAATTGACTACCTTTAAGAATGGAGGTGAGACAACAGGAAGTGAGAGAAATCTACCTCTAGGAAGGTAAATCCACCCTGAAAGAGTTACCATGGGGAAATGGTATCTCCACCGAAGCTTTATCACCAAGCCATGTTTTTTAAAAATCCAATTATCACAGGAACAGAAAGTGAGATGAAATCTTCTGAACAGGGGCACAGATAGCAAAACATCACAGCGGTGTTACTGTTTACCCTTCTCTATGCTGTCCAAAGCTTTCATATAAATAGAGAGAGAGAGAGAGAGAGAGGACACACACACTAGCTGTACCCGCCACACATTGCTGTGGCCAATCTTTCCCCCCTCTTTCTCTCTTTATCTCCTTTCATTTCTTTCTTTCTTTCCTTCTCTCCTTCTCTTCCTCTTCCCTTCCTCCCTTCCCTTTTCTTTCCTTTCTTCTTTCTCCCCATTCTTCCTTCTCTACCTATTCTTGGACTGCAACTCCCAGCAGTCCTCCTGATCTATCTATCTATCTATCTATCGATCGATCGATCGATCTATCTATCTATCTATCTATCTATCTATCTATCTATCTATCTATCTATCTATCCATCCATCCATCCATCCATCCATCCATCCATCCATCCATCCATCCATCTATCTCTAGCTAATCTAGCTATCTGGAGCATTGCTGGGAGTTGCAGTCCGGGAATAGGAAATTGGAAATATACAGGGATTGGGATGCTCTCAAAGAAATCCAAAGAGAAGAAAGTTTGCATCTTGGAAGCAGTGCGTTTGGATCATCCTCCTCTCCTAAGGGCCTGGACTAGGGGATGCTGGGAGCTGTAGCTCGGAAGCGAGTGTGGATATGCTATTGTGTGTTTTGTTTGCTGGGGGAGTCGTTTTTGCGCATGCGCTGTAGTGTCTTTTTGCTTTTTGGGCTTTTAAAGTCTATTCTACTAAGTTTTTCAGTGTTTTTATGAATGATGGTCACTCATTGGCCTGATAGGTGTATTGTGTCCAAATTTGGTGTCAATTTGTCCTGTGGTTTTTGAGTTATGTTAATCCCACAAACGAACATTACGTTTTTATTTATATAGATGCATACACATTTTTATTTATATAGATACATACACACACACACACATATGTGAGCCCCCAGTGGCACAGCACGTTAAACCACTGAGCTGCTGAATTTGCTGACCGAAAGTTCAGTGGTTCAAATCCAGGGAGCAGTGTGAGCTCCTGCTGTTAGCCCCAGCTTCTGCCAACCTAGCAGTTTGAAAACATGCAAATGTGAGTACATTAATAGGTAACACTCCGGTGGGAAGGTTTTTGTTTTTTCGTGTCAGGAGCGACCTGAGAAACTGCAAGTCACTTCTGGTGTGAGAGAATTGGCCATCTGCAAGGACGTTGCCAGGGGACGTCCAAATGATTGGATGTTTTGTCATCCTTGTGGGAAGTTTCTCTCATGTCCCCGCATAAGGAGCTGGAGCTGATAGAGGGAGCTCATCCACCTCTCCCAGGATTCAAACCTGCAAACTGTCGGTCTTCAGTCCTGCCGGCACAGGGGTTTAACCCACTGCGCCACCGTGGGAAGGTAACTGTGCTCCATGCAGTCATGCTGGCCACATGAACTTGGAGTCATCTATGGATAACACAGGCTCTTCGGCTTAGAAATGGAGATGAGTACCTACCTCCAGAATCGGACACGGCTAGACTTTATGTCAAAGGGAAACCTTCACCTTCACTTTGTGTATATACACACAGTTTTAAAATGTAACTGTTCTGACTTTCATACAAATTTAAGAACAAACCTACAGAACTTATCTTGTTTGTAACCTGGGGGCTGCCTGTACACTGGAAATGCCTGCTTTTTTGCTTTGTAACATTCCAGAGTTGAAAAACACATAAATTACATGAAACACGAGAATACAGGAGAGTGGCATTTGGAATATTAAGATATTTGCCTTTGTAATGCCCACCTTTATACCTCATTTGACCCTTTAGTATCTTTTTTTTGTAAGTATTTCTCTTTCTGCCAGGATGGTTGAACTATAGTTCCCATCAGTCCTAAGACACCTGAAAGGAAGGGATGCAAGAGACCATCAACTGGGAAGTGTAATCATGAGTGTAATCTCCACATCTGGAAAGGCACTGGAGTGGAAAGCCCATTTTAAAAATACAAGCATGAATTTTATTACACAATGCATAATGATCCCTCTGAGCATATGCAAAGGGCTTTTCCTACCTTCCCATTTAAATCAAAGAAGAAGAAAAACAAAGCCTTCCAAGGAAGAAGACAACACTCCCTTCATATAATATTGAACCCCAGGAAATCTTGCCAATCAAAAGGTTGGCAGTTCAAAACTTGGGTCAGGGTAAGCTCCTGGCCTTTAGCCCAGCTTCTGCCTACCTAGCAGTTCGAAAACAAATTTATTTATTTATTTTATTTATTTACGACATTTATATGCTGCCCTTCTGACTCCAAAGGGGACACAGAGCGGCTTACAAGATATACATACAATATACATATATACAATATACATACAATATATTATATTATTAGCATAGTACAATATAAGTATTATATATTACTATATTGTACTATACCATTATATTGTAATATTATTAGTAATATTACATGTAATATAAAATATATAATTGTGAGTAAAAAGGTAAAGGTTTCCCCCTGACATTAAGTCCAGTCGTGACCGACTCTGGGGTGTGGTGCTCATCTCCATTGCTAAGCCAAAGAGCCAGCGTTGTCTGTAGACACCTCCTAGGTCATGTGGCCAGCATTACTGTATGGAGCACTGTTACCTTCTCGCCGGAGCAGTACCTATTGATCTACTCACATTTGCATGTTTTTGAACTGCTAGGTTGGCAGAAGATGGAGCTGACAGCAGAAGCTCGCACTGCTCCCCGGATTCGAACATGCGACCTTTTGGTCAACAAGCTTAGCAGCTCAGTGGTTTAACCCACTGCGACATCAGGGATTCCATAATTGTGAGTAGATAAATGTGAGTAGATAAATAGGTACGGCTTTAAAGTGAGGAGGTATTTTAAGGCACCCATAAGGAAAAGAAAATACCAATGATTTGATCAAGGAGGAAAGTTTACAAACAAAGATCTTCGGCAGGGAAGATGAACCGAGCACAGCCTCCAAGATGCCAAAGATGGGAAAAGCTTATATATACATCCTCTATCTATGTACAGTTGTCCGACTTGTCAACGTTTGCCCTATATGTGTTCTGTGATATGCTCTGAGTCCCCTTTGGGGTGAGAAGGGCTGAATATAAATACTGTAAATAAATAAATATACCCTCTTCTCTTTGATTGCATTGCAAGAACAAAAGTGTGTATTTAAAAAACCCCTTTCAAACATATAAAATGGACACCTTATCAGTTATGCTACAGCCAAAGTTTACCCATGCCTGCTCCATACAGTAGAATCAATGCATTCTCAAAGGCTTTCATGGCCAGAATCACTGGGTTGTTGTGAGCTTTCCAGGCTGTATGGCCATGCTCCAGAAGCATTCTCTTCTGACGTTTCGCCCACATCTATGGCAGGCACCCTCAGAGGTTGTGAGGCAGCAGAGCACTTGATGAACCAACCTGGACACAGCATATTATTTGAGAACACAGAAATGCTGGACCACTCTAACAACTACCATGTCAGACTACACAGAGAAGCCAGTGAAATCCATAAAGCATGTGGACAACATCAACAGAAAGGCGGAAACCATGACAATGAACAAAATGTGGCTACCAGTATTAAAAAAACTCTAAGATCATAACAGTAAATAAAGAGCAACTTTATAAAACAGGGGAACTCCAGACAAGAAACTATCAGGGACACCTAATCACCTCTCAACAAAGAATTCCTCCAGGCAGTAAGAAGCCAGACCTTGGAACTGCTAGGACATGAAATGCTAATCAAGGTGGTCAGGACAGTAAATTAAGAACAACACTCAAAAACAGGGGAAGTCCAGACAAGAAACTATCAGGGACAGCTAAGCACCTCCCAACAAAGGATTCCCCCAGGCAGGAAGAAATCAGACTTTGGAACTGCTAGGACATTAAATGCTAATCAAGGTGGTCAGGACAGTAAATCAAGAACAACACTCAAAAACAAGGGAATTCCAGACAAGAAACTATCCGGGACAGCTAATCACCTCCCAACAAAGGATTCCTCCAGGCAGTAAGATGCCAGACCTTGGAACTGCTAGGATTAAATGCTAATTAAGGTGGCTAATTGCAACATTCACACCTACCTCAAACAGACGAGGGATCTGGACATTCTACAGATATATAAACCCAATTTTCCTAGTTTCCAGCAGACTTCACAACCTCTGAGGGTGCCTGCCATAGGTGCAGGCAAAACGTCAGGAGAGAATGCTTCTGGAACATGGCCATACAGCCCAGAAAACTCACAGCAGTTTCAAACTCTTTCTGTGAATCTAGGGCTGGATCTACACTGCTACAAAAGGCAGCTTGCATTATATGGTCAGTGTTGTTGAGGTTCAATGCAGTTCAAACTTCATTAAATGAGTCTACACTGAGCATTCAATGCAGTTCCAAACTGCATTGCATGGCAGTGTAACTCCAGCCACTGTAAATAAAGAGTTTTCTGTTGCACCCTGAAGTAAAATACTCACTCACCTGTAGGCTGATGGCTCCATTCATAGCAAATGAGATCTGATGCAAAAGCTTTTCGGGTTGGAGCAAGGCTGCATCTAGATGGAGATAATCACAGCAGTGGTTTACTTGGGAGTAAGTCTTGCAAAGCTCAGGAAAGTAGCAAGTAAAGATCGTCTTCCTACTTGGAGGTCAGTCCCAAAGCCTTCTCAATCTCCCTTCGTGGAGATCCACGCGTGGAAAAGTCCCAAACCGAGTCAGGCAACAATATTTGGCTTCAGTTCCCAAGTCAATATCTCGAAGTGTGCCAACCTTCCTGCTTGGAGGTTAGTCCCAAAGCCGTCTCAATCTCCCTTCGTGGAGATCCACGCGTGGAAAAGTCCCAAACCAAGTCAAGCAATACTTTGGACTCAGTGCCTGAGTGAATATCTTGACGTATGCCAAGCTTCCTGCTTGGAGATCAGTCCCAAAGCCTTCTCAATCTCCCTTCGTGGAAAAAAAAGAAGTCCCAAACCGAGTTAAACAACAATACTTTGGCTTCAGTTCCCAAGTCAATCTCCCTTCGTGGAGATCCACGCGTGGAAAAGTCCCAAACCGGGTCAAGCAACGATACTTTGGCCTCAGTTCCCAAGTGTGTGCCAACCCAAGCTCTCTTTTATCATGGGATGCTTTAGTAATGCATTCCTCTGTAGTAAAGGGTTGGACTAGATGGCCTTTGGGGTCCCCTTTGACTCTTAAGACTTAATTTACGCCCTACCTTTCCCCCCTCGCATCCAAATGATTGCGATACGAGTTCAAAATATGCGGAAACCCGAGATTAATAATGGAACAGAAGGAGAGACAGACAGACCTCGGTATCCATCCGCTGATAACAGGGATCTGATGGCTTGGTTGGCATCAAGTTGGCACAAAGAGCCGAGCTGCGACCTGGATCTCAAGACTTCTTCCTTCCCATCCTCATCATCATCTCCTCGGATCACTCCCGACAAAGCTTTGTTTCCCTCCCGAAGGAACGAGATTGGAGCTGTAACGCGTTCCCCAGGGACTCAGTGTCGGCTCAATGGGGACCCCAATATCCGCAGATCTTTTCCAGCTCCAGACGGGAAGACAAAAGCGGGGTGCCTGTTTTCCTCTGAGTCGGGCGCGGCTGCTTTCTTCCTCCGACGCGGTGAAGGCTTTGGGAGGAAGAGGAGGAGGAGGATGGAGAAGAAGGCGAGGCAACGCAAAGGCGGGAGAGACACCTCCCCAAGGATCCAACCCTTTCCTCCTTCTTCTGGGAGGTCTTGGGAGGGATCTCTTGTGCTCTGCGACTTCCGAGCCCCTCGTCCAAACGTGTCCCGGTTTGATCCCGGCAGAGAGGGAGCCAGAGGCGTCCCTCCTCCCCTTCTTTTCCTCCTCGCCTCCTTTCACCTTCTCGTTTGTCTTGATTTTTTTTTTTTTGGTAGATGGAAAGAGTTAAGCATACGCTTCTGCTGGGATGCTTCCACGCTTCCAAGCATGGAAAACTCCAGCATCTCACAGTCATCAGATTTTAATTTCTAGTTACTTTGGAAGTAACTTAGTTACTTTTCTAGTTAGAGGGCCTCTAAATGGAGGAAAGATATAACATTCTTCTAGAATTACATTCTGCAACAACTCACACTCAACAAATTTTATTCCTAGTTACTTTGAAAGTAACTTAATTATTTTTTCAAGTTACAGGGATGTGATTCCATTAAATGGAGGAAAGTTATAACATTCTTCTAGAATTACATTTTGCAACAACTCACACTCAACAAATTTTATTTCTAGTTACTTTGTAAGTAACTTAGTTACTTTTCTAGTTACAGAGGTGCTGCTCCATTAAATGGAGGAAAGATACAACATGCTTTTAGGATGATATTCTCCAGCATCTCACGCTCATGAGATTTTATTTCTAGTTACTTTGGAAGTAACTTAGTTACTTTTCAAGTAACAGGGGTGCGGCTCCATTAAATGGAGGAAAGATATTAACATTCTTCTAGAATTACATTCTGCAACATCTTACACGCATCAGATTTTATTTCTAGTTACTTTGGAAGTGCGGCTCCATTAAATGGAGGAAAGATACAACATGCTTCTAGGATGACATTCTGCAGCATCTCACACTCATCAAATTTTAACTAGGAGACATGAATGATCTATGTTTTATTGATCTTGCTATGATTGTATATTTATACTATTGTTTTTAATTTGTTTTAGATCTTTTATTATGTTCTTGGGCATTTAATTTTGCCTCTGTAAACCGCCTTGAGTCGCCTGTGGACTGAGAAAGGCGGTATACAAATATAGTAAATAAATAGGTAAATACATATTTCTAGTTATTTTGGAAGTAACTTAGTCGCTTTTCTAGTTACAGGGATGTGATTCCATTAAATGGAGGAAAGATATAACATGCTTCTAGGATGACATTCTCCAGTCTCTCATGCTCATCAGATTTTATTTCTAGTTACTTTGGAAGTAACTTAGTTACTTTTCTAGTTACAGGGTGTAGCTCCATTAATGGAGGAAAAATATAACATGCTTCTAGGATTACATTCTGCAGCATCTCACACTCATCAGATGATTAAAAGGTGGACAAAGGAAGACCGTGTATTGTAGATAGCAGGCATGGGCAAACTTGGGCCCTCCAGGTGTTTTGGACTTCAACTCCCATAATTCCTAACATCCTACGGCTGTTAGAAATTGTGGGATTTGAAGTCCAAAACACCTGTTGGGCCCAAGTTTGTCCATGCCTGCTATATAGGCTTATATAGCATTTCAATGTTTGAAAATGTATTATTTATTTACAGTATTTATATTCTGCCCTTCTCACCACACAGGGGACTCAGGACGGATTACAATGTACATATACATGGCAAACATTCAATGCCATGGGTTGTTGTAGGTTTTTCCGGGCTATATGGCCATGTTCTAGAGGCATTTTCTCCTGACGTTTCGCCTGCATCTATGGCAAGCATCCTCAGAGGTAGTGAGGTCTGTTGGAAGTATGAAAATGGGTTTATATATCTGTGGAATGACCAGGGTGGGACAAAGGACTTTTGTCTGCTGGAGCTAGGTGTGAATGTTTCAACTGACCACCTTGATTAGCATTTAATTCAATGCCATAGACACACACATATATAGACAGACACAGAGGCAATTTAACATTCCAGCTTTTTCATGAGGGTATTCTGGCCACCAGGGAGCTGTCGCTTCACTATCCATTTGTGACACTGATAAAGTACTTCCTTATTCTTTGCAGACTTTCTGGAGATTTTTTATGGCGCCCTAAATTACTTAAATTAGCCTCCCCACATAGGCAGTACTTAAATTTCCTACTTGACAAATGCAACTGTCTTTCAGGCTGCAAAGGTCAACAGCAAGCTACACAAATTGGGCAGATGCTCACTCCGACCCGGGCTGGCTTCGAACTCATGACCTTTTGGTCAGTAGTGATCTTAATGCAGCTGACTCCCAGCCAGCGGCGCCACAGTCAAAGTAAATGAAAGGGAAAGTACTTTTGAAGAATTCCAAAAGGATAGTAGTTATATTCCATTGCAAGCAAACCAATTAAGAGCTTGCTGCATCCTAAAGATTAATAAAGTCTTTAAGGTGCCACTTCTTTAACTTCTTTAAGGTGAAGTTCAACAGGGACAAATGCAAGATACTCCACTTAGGCAGAAAAAACGAAATGCAAAGGTACAGAATGGGGACAATGCCTGGCTCGAGAGCAGTACGTGTGAAAAAGATCTTGGAGTCCTCGTGGACAACAAGTTAAACATGAGCCAACAATGTGATGTGGCGGCAAGAAAAGCCAATGGGATTTTGGCCTGCATCAATAGGAGCATAGTGTCTAGATCTAGGGAAGTAATGCTACCCCTCTATTCCGCTTTGGTTAGACCACACCTGGAATATTGTGTCCAATTCTGGGCACCACAATTCAAGAGAGATATTGACAAGCTGGAATGTGTCCAGAGGAGGGCGACTAATGATCAAGGGTCTGGAGAACAAGCCCTATGAGGAGCGGCTTAAAGAGCTGGGCATGTTTAGCCTGAAGAAGAGAAGGCTGAGAGGAGACAAGATAGCTATGTATATAAATATGTGAGGTGAAGTCATAGGGAGGGGGGAGCAAGCTTGTTTACTGCTGCCCTGGAGACTAGGATGTGGAACAATGGCTTCAAACTACAAGAGAGGAGATTCCATCTGAACATGAGGAAGAACTTCCTGACTGTGAGAGCCGTTCAGCAGTGGACCTCTCTGCCCCGGAGTGTGGTGGAGGCTCCTTCTTTGGAAGCTTTTAAACAGAGGCTGGATGGCCATCTGTCAGGGGTGATTTGAATGCAATATTCCTGCTTCTTGGCAGGGGGTTGGACTGGATGGCCCATGGGGTCTCTTCCAACTCTATGATTCTATGATTTTATGACAAGTTTTTAACAACAAATTTCAATTGTAATGTTTACTAATAACTATTCAATTGGATTCTTTGGGGATAAGCTGGTATAAAATGGCCTTCAGTCCTTAAAACCTAAAGAAGAAACCTGCTCCGGATCATCAGATGCTTGATAGGAAAGGCTAGAGCATCAGATTCCTTTTTACCTGCTTTGTTACATAAACACTGGTCTTTGCTCTCCATACAAAGCAGGGAGAAATCATCTGTGTTTTGCATCAATGCTCTCAGCGGCTCACTGTGAAAGCCTTGCCTTTTCTCATTGCCTGTCTGACCTGATTTAGAGATTAAATGTTCAATTAGGAACAAAGACAAAGTTAGTGAGTAGTTCGAGTACTGGACTATGATTCTGGATACCAGGATTTGAATCCCTGCTCAGCCACAAAACCCATTGGGTGACCTTGGGCAAGTCACATTCTCTCAACCTCAGAAGAAAGTAATACGTCTACACTGCAGAATTAATGACAGGCTGGCACCACTTTATCCAACACAGCTCAGTGCTATCTATATAAATAAAAATGTAATGTTCGTTTGTGGGATTAACAGAACTCAAAAACCACTGGACGAATTGACACCAAATTTGGACACAAGACACCTAACAACCCAATGTATGTCCTTCACTCAAAAAAATTGATTTTGTCATTTGGGAGTTGTAGTTGCTGGGATTTATAGTTCCCCTACAATCAAAGAGCATTCTGAACCCCACCAACGATGGAAATGAACCAAACTTGGCACACAGTTCTCCCATGACCAACAGAAAATACTGGAAGGGTTTGGTGGGCAGTGTCCTTTGGTTTTGGAGTTGTAGTTCACCTACATCCAGAGAGATGTACCCAAATATATGTTTGGTTTCAGGAACCCCCATGCAGGGGCGGCTCAACCCATTACACAAAGTAAGCATTTGCAGTATAGTTGATTTTGCCCAGGGGCGCTCTTGAGGCGCTCTTGGGGAAAATAGACCTTGACATATGTGAGTTGTAGTTACTGGGATGTATAG